ATTTTTAAATAATATTAAAACACACCTATATTAAAATATGTTTTTATTATATACACTAGTAATATTTTCAAAAAGTATACCAAATTTTTTGTGTAAGAGACTATAGATATTTTTATATATGTAAAAAAATCGTCAATTTTTATTTTTAATTTTATTTGTAAAGAAAAATGAAACCATATTTGGCAATTGAATGCGATCACAAGAAGTCAGATGTATATTTAGGTCAATCAATAATACGACGCATATCAAATTCCTTAACCCTATACCTTCGACACGGAACGCCCTGCCCTGACTATACTACGAATTCCGATCACATATTGACAGTGAAACACGACATACTTTTCTACGCCGGAAATCTAAACGCAAGTAAGAAAAGCCAATAGAAATACACACAGATCTCCAATTAAATATTGTGTATCTTACACGCATACTTTACGAAGCAGTTTCCCCATAATCATGTCGTAAAATGCATATTTTAGTGCAGAAGAAACGACCAAAGTGTTCCGAAATTCCAGGCTGAAGGAGCAAGGAAAATTCCTTGCCACCAAATTGCCAGAAATTATCGAGAATCTCTGCTAATTCTGCTCGTGACAATTTCATAGCGCACGTGGCATTTGTAATGATTGACATTTTAAAAGAAAATTGCAAGAACAATTCTATATATGAGCAACGCGTCTTATTCTGCGCACATGTTTCTATTATTTCATCATTATTGTATATATTAGCATAAAATAAAACACTTATGTTTTCGAGATTTCCGAATTCAATACTCGCGTACTCAATAGTTGACCTGTATGTTTGAAGGTAGAATCAGGCGCAGGAAATAACTACGGTCCTGATGTTACACCATGCCCTGTAAAGGGCCCGGCGAGCGCCGGGCCCACTCCTGGGCCAGCCGCAGAGCCTCCCGGCCCATTCCATTCCGGACCCGTAGTCGTTTCTCGCGTGCATCGCCCGGCGAAGGAAGCATTCCATTCATGTTTGGGAACGCGCGACGCACTCGTCGCCGCGAGTAAGAAGAAAGAGACCGACCCTGGGCCTCTTCCCCGCGAAGAGAAGGACCAGGGCACCGCGACGGCGCCGTTTTCACGACGACGACGACGGTCCGTGATGACGATCGACGAATCTACCAGGAACATCGTCCTGCGAACGCGTCCAGCACCAAGCACGTGGTCCTGCATTATTTTGTCTGGGCCGCTACTCCAAACGCATCCGGGGATGCAGTGAGGCTGCACTGGTGCGTTCTTTTGTTTATCTCTCTTTTGCCTTTTTTCTTTTCTTTTTTTTTTCTTTTCTTCTTTTTACCGCTGTTTCGTCTGGAAGTTTGCCTCTCGCGGCATATCGTCGCTTAAGTCGCTTAATTCGTAAAATTTATTGAACTCGGTATCGATCCAGAATAACGATTGAGAAATTCCGCTCACGTGCATCGCGGAGATGTAGAGATAATATATACGCTCGGCGTGTTATCTCGGGTTTCGGTACGAGATAGAATATTGGGTGTCTGTAAATATAACGGGTTGATTAAGAGGTTTATCACGTGTTTGTGCTACTGATAAAGACGAGTGGTTAGAATGGTAAAACATTTAGTGAGATGTCTGCCCTAACATGACGGCGCCACAGCTGCTTCAAGAATCTTATATTTCTAATATAATAACGTTTTATCCACAGATATCATTTTGTAATAAAATTGAGGACGGTAATTAAATTTTATGTCTTACATAGTTTGGGCGATTACGTAAGTATTATTACAATTTTTTTTTTTTTTTTTTTAATTTTTTTTTTTTTTTTTTTTTTTTTTTTTTTTTTTTATTCCATTTAAAAAACATTTATCAAGATCTTTATATCGGTGTAATCACGATATGAGAGAGAGAGAGAGAGAGACAGAGAAATTCAACAGTTACAAATTATCTTTAGATTATGTCACATTAGGCTATCTCTCTATATTAATTTCTTTAAATATTTTTATTTCTCTCTCTCTCTCTCTCTCTCTCTCTCTCTCTTTCTCTTTTTGTGTGTATGCGATTGAAGATTATGTACCAGTTTTTCGTATAGCAGCATCACATGTGTAAAGGACCTTTATTACTTTATCAGCAAAGTAGATTGCGGGGTTCGTAACCGACCGTCATCTCAACTGTCTTCATTTCCAAAGCGCATAACCACCGCGCATCCTCCGCATGCTAACGCGGCTGTTGAACTCCCCGGTCTTACTTTGTATATACATGTATAAGATATCGTCTTTAAATCGTCCAGCAGCCCGCGCGTGTATTGCCATATATATATATACACATACGCGCACGCAATATATATACATATATGGAACGAGAAATATTTCATAAGAAATTATCTTGAGAGAACAGATTGCTCTAGAGAAGCTTCTCGCAGAACGATCTCTCCTTCGACAAGATTCTCATTTCCCGAAAACGTGACAGGATTATGCATTCGCGAAGCGCGATTTTTACGACACGTGTAGATGTTGAAATAACGGAGGGTCCTTGGTTGTTTCGCGATCGCCGTGAGACCGTGTTTCCTTCACTCGTGGGTGATAGTGTCAAGTGCGGATGACGAATGTGTAATGTTAATTTTTCCGGGAATATGCATGCAGCATGTCGATACTAATGTTACGTACGTCGGCATGACGATACGTTAGGTTTTATGACAAATAGGTCATTCCAATCGTTTAATACACTATTAATATATCGCGCAAAGGAATATAAAAGTTATCGTAAGTGACTTTTTATTTAATACAATGACGGATTTTAAAAGAAATTATGAAAGAAATATTAACGATATAAAACAATATTCTCGACAAGAAGTGATTAAGTGCATTATCTCTTCTTTTCAAATATCAAGCAGTAAGTAATTGTTAAAAAAATGATTACTTACCGTTATACGATGACAATATAATAAACAGTTACTTTGATCAATTAATCGATATGCAAATATCGCGATATATTTCTTTTTCATTCGCTAGAACCAAATATCTAATCGAGTTTATTTAATAATAAATTTAATATTATTTATTTAATAATAACGTAATTAATATTATTTATTTAATAACGTAGTTAATATTATTTATTTAATAACGTAATTAATATTATTTATTTAATAACGTAGTTAATATTATTTATTTAATAATCGTAGTATATTATTGTATTCGTGGCTTTCTAACTACACTTTCCACGTTTATCTTGATTTTCTGCTTCTTAATGGCAAAGTTTCTCTTTCTATCATTTTAAAAAAACATTATATATTTGATACATAATGCAGTTTCAGCTAATAAGAAAGAAAAAAAGAGTCCATCTCTCAAATTATAAATTATTAATAACGACGTATCATCATCGGCATGATAAATCGAAACAATGATGATACATTAGATACAATCACCGGCAAGTCCATTAAGCATTTCAAATCACCAATGCATCTATAGAAACTAATATTTGCATATACTTGGCAGGACTTTACCGTCATTCGCGGAAAAATAAGATACTCATGATCCGGCAGTGAATAAATATATAGATTCCCACGCTAATAACATCGATAATGTCATGTTATATGATAGTGGAAAATTACTATTTTCTGATACATTTCTGAATGTATGTGGAGGAAACATAGATTTCATATTAAATATGACCGATAATATCAGTTGATTTGTGTATAATAATATTGCATGAATGCATAATGACCGTGAAGTCCAACTTGGTATGACTTAAGATTACGCACTGGAAAATATAGCTCAATTAAATCTTTGTTTTTGCTTCATGTTATCTAGACGGATTGATAAAAAAAAATCGACATTTTATAACATATATGTAGCTTGCTAAATATATTAGCATAGTATAAACAATTTCTTAAACAAATTACTATTCATATTATAATATCTTTTCTTTATTTCTTAGTAATTGGAGTTTACGCAATGCAACCTTTTTATCTGTTATATATTTCCTGATTTCGCCATATATTATTTGATAACAGCATACTTATATCTACGCGCAGGCCGTTATAAATAAGAATTTTTAATTAACTTAATTCAAGCGTTCGATTAATTTATTTTTATTTATATTTATTTATGCATAATTTTCAAAAGACTTTCTTAAAATGTCGTACTTTCATTATTATAATTTTAGAATTCTCGCGGCAAGAGAATAATACTGAAAACATTTGCCAAATATATGACAATGACTTCGTTATTGGAGAAACCCGAAGTTTCCATCTAGAATCTAAAATTCCACGTGCAGTTTCTTAGAAGAGAATCCAATAACGCCCAATAGCTTGGACGTCGTCCAAGGAATCCAAGTTCAACCGAATGACGTGTTACTCCAGAATTTAGCTGATTGAGCGCCATGAATCACATTCCTCTATCAAAGACCAGGTAGTACACGCGAAGCGTCATGCGCTTCCGCGAACGTAACTGTGGGAAATCGTAATCTCACTCAGCGCGTCCGTTCATATAAACGCCGGGTGTATCGCGTGCGGCCATTCAGTAACTCGAACGAGCCACCGTATACATCGAGGTCCGGGTCTCTCGTCCCTCCAAAACACGAGACTCTCTGGATCTCCGGAACGTTCGGCGGGCCTTCCCTTTCTCTCCCACGGCAAGCGCTCTCTTCCCAAACTAGGGTTACACGCGAGATGACGAAAAATTACATGTACTCCGCCGCCTATTTAAACGACTCTCGGCGCGTCCACTTTTAGAGATCACTACTGCAGACATAAACATGTAAGTACATATGTGTGGGCGAATATTGATTTTGTTTGCTCTTCAGTATCGCGAGTTTGCTTTCTGTCTTTGTTGGTTAATTTTTATTTATTTAAAAGAACGCGTCAAAGGGAATATTTTTTAATTAGATTGTATTATTGAAGAAGCTAGGTTGCTATTCTACAATTTATTATTAGCGGAAAAAGTATAAATCTTACACATATTTGAATAAATAATAATTATTAAATTTAATTATTAATTATTAATTATTATTAATTATTAATAATTAATATAATTAAGCTTATTAAATTCTCTGGAAGATATTTTTCCTGAAATATAAAGAAAGTGAATTGATTAGTTCTTTTTAGTGTTGCGATCGTTTATATATCATAGCAGATAAACTGTTAAAAACACACGAATTTTTTTCGCATGGCGCTTATCTATTTACATTCTACTTTTTAATCTCGTTATATCTCATATCTTAATATATCTCTCTTTATGGCTTATCTATTATATACATATATAACATGACAACATACGTTAGACAGACGAAAAGTAGACTATGGATCAATAATGACAGACATCAACCGGTTTTGTACGGTTTTGTCGGTGTATACATATATTTGTTGGAATGCGATGTCATTAACGTAACAAATACGTAACGGCAATTAGAAAATTTCAGATTAAACTTTGCGTCTTTATTATTCATTCACCGCAAAAGATTCAAAACACATCATCTCCACTTATCAATTACATGAATCCTCATGTTTGTTCGCGAAAGACGTATATCTATAAATAGCATCGTGTGTCAACATAATTCCTCCCGTGTATGCGCGATTCAAGAATATTAGTATTCTACAACCATTTAGTTACATTCATTCTAATCGCTTAATTAAATTACGCTTCGATTGCCTAAATAAAAGAGATAAATGTACCGATGTACGATGACTAAAATCTTTATCACTTTCGAGTATTAATTCTAACAATGTTAATAGCTTGGAAAAATACTTCAATATGTGTGTGTGTGTGTGTATATATCGTAAATATTTTTTAAACTTAAAAAAAAAAGTTGAGGGAGATAAATATCGAGTAAAATAAAACCCACACTCCAAGTGCAAGGATCTTGAAAGCTATCCCCTCTTTCCGGGGACGACGGGGTGCGCTTACTCTCCAATAATCCGAGCGTGGCTCGAGCTTGGGAAATAAGACGGCAGCTGCAGAAGCAGAAGCCGCAGCTCGGCGTACATATACATAATACACGCGGCGCGAACAATCCCTTGGAGAACCGGCCAACGGCCAGTCCGCTCGAGGGCCCGCCGTCAACTGATCGGATCCGTTGAAGCCGACACGGCGTGCCTCGGTCGTTCTACGGCCTGATCCACAGCACGGTCCGTCTGGGATCTCGTGCCGCCTATCGCCGGATACAGCCTGACGATTCGTCGGCCGCGGCTGCGAGCGGCGAACGGTCCGGTGTGTGCGTGACGTGTCGTCGCCTCCTGTGTGCGGCTCATAATCCCCGTTGTGTCTCGCGCGAGTGCTTACGAGCGAGTGCGTATACGCGCCGGGGCCGGGGCATTCGTTAATACCGTTTCCGGCGCGCGCGGAGCCGTGCACACAGTTTCGGTTGTGTTGTGTGTCTCGCGCGTTGTCCGTCCGCTCTCGTCGCTCGTCTCGTCGTCTCCCGCGTGCGCTCGTCGTCATCATCATCATCATCATCATTATCATCATCATCATCATCATCATCATCATCTATTTCTTCTTCTTCCTTCTTCTCCTCTTCGGCGTCGCGGGTTCCCGCTGTTCCGCTCCTCTCGCGGGAGGTCAGCACCTTAGCATCGGTAGGTAGGTAGGTAGATAAATGCGGAATGTGGGATTCGGGGTTGCTTGGATGCTACGGACTCGTCGAGAGAGACCGCGGGCCTCCCATTACCTTTCGAAAGGAGAGCTCGCGGTGAAATATGAGCGGCCGGTTTCGGTATAGTTTTTCTTCTCTTTGTGTTAGCGGCCAACGCGGGGGATCCACCGTGTGTCTCGTGTGTGAAACCGCCAACTCAAAATCTGCGAGACGATTGAGGATTCGATGAAAAGTCTCGCGCGTAAGAGAGTCGGAACGATTTCAATGGGTCCCCATCGTTGACGAACTGCGAACTCGCGTCGTGTTAGATGCTTAGATTGTTTCTAGATTCTCAATTGACGGAATGACAATTTGAATGTAAAGTTAGGTTTCCTGTTAAGTAATGAGGACTTCAACGCATGGATAATCCGGCGGTCTTTTTTATTATGAGTGAAAGAAAATGGGTTTTTCTACAGATCAAAGTATTTTCCGAATGAATTCTTTCGCGTAAATTACGATATGAAAACAATATTTATATTTGAAAATTAGATTTCTATGTAATTATTTTTTTACAGCTACTTTCGTGTGGCTTTAAATGTTATATTTTAATATTTAATTATTTATATTTTAATATTTAAGTCTTTCTTATATATATTTTTTTTTATATTTTCTAAAAAAAAATATAAATATCATGAAATATTTTCGTCTTATTTATATCGAATACTCGATCTGTATTTTGTCACAAGGGTTTGTACCATTTTGTATCATATTTACATCATAATTGCAATAATATTCAAAATATGGCGAATTTTTAAGAAAGAAAAATATCCAAAATTTAAAGAATAATTCGAACTTGGCGCGTTAAGATTAACGCGATTGTTTTCATCTATCGTCGACTATATTTCGTAATGTTTATCGTGAGTAATATGCATTTCGACGGGATAGCGTATCTTTGAGGAATTGTGTGAAATACTTCAACGTGAAAATAAGAGGAGAAATGATGACGGGGATGTGTCGTGTTCCAATCAGCTTTATTACGCGTCTCTTGTTTACGAACGGTGTGCACAGTACGTAAAAAGTCACGTGACGGTTAGAATATGATGTTTCCGAAACAACAGCCTCTTGTCGCGTAGACAAAAATTTCGAAATAATGTGTAAATAACGCATTTTTAACACTCGCATTTTTTAAGCGGCATTTTACATGTTTTGGAAATTAAATCATTACTTAATGTTTGTAAAAAAAAGTAATGCATTGACAAATTAATAAAGGAATTAATTGACAACAGGACAAGTATTATATGCATTATAGTTGATCGGATAATTTGATGTTTTACTTTCTTTACATCTTAATATATTATCAATGACGATTTTAACAATAGAGAATAATTCTATTAGACAGCTTATTTTAAATGAATAATCTATATACTGCACAGAGTATTCTAAGAACCGTAACATCACATTCATTCAAATCTGCAGTTCTAATTGCATTGCTTGCAGTTTCGTATCTTCTACCGAGAAATGCAATGATTCTCCCACGATAAGCCGTCATGAATTTGCATATTTGCAGATAACCTATATATTTATATGAACTTTACACAGACATTAAACTTAGTGATTATAAAAATATATGTATTTATAGCAAAATAATTATCTCTAACAAATTCCATTTATAAATTTCAACAAACAATCGTAATGAAAATAAACAATAGAGTTTCCTTATTTTGAAAGTGGTGTATAACCTCGAGATTCTCTCTTTTTAAAAATTATGAATTTCAAAAAGATGATGTTTAAATTGTATATCAAAAATTTATAAACATATAATAGTAGTATAAAAAAATATTGAGTATAAAAAATTATTTTCTATGACACGAATATCTTTTTCGTAGGAGAATCGTATTCAAAACACTCTCATCAGGCGCTATTAAAACGATGTACGACACTGGACATGCGTGTACTCTCCTACTATACTCACGCTCGACTTTTCGTTCTAGAAATAGAAGTGAATGAGAGCGTTGAGCAAGTGTTTGTTGTGTGAAAGACTTGAGTACATAGCAGTGTCAATCCCGCGGATAATCTGGGAGCAGTGACGTCCTGTTTACTCTGTTTGGTAGTCTAACGTGGCAAACGAACGCCTGAAAATATCGTCGTCAGATTCAGCGTGTATTTTCAGCGTCTTTAATTGGATAGGGCCTCCGACGCGGTATTCGTAAATTATTCAAATTCCTAATTAGACTGTCACCGCGCGTTCAACCACGAGAGAGCTCTGTGCACGAAGAACGGACGTTCTTTGTCGTTTATTTTATCGGAGTTTGATTATTCCAATTTCTAAATAAAATTACAATATTGCTTTTCGACGAGCAGATAATAAATAATCTTAAAATCTTGAGTAATAATTGTAAAATCTTTTTTCTGAGATATATTTGCTCTTCGTCAAAAATTAGATACTATTTAACTGACATCTACAAGCTGCGATAATCTTATTATTAGTGCAACTTACAACAAACGTAATAGTTTGTTAATGAAGAATTATCTTTGACGTAGTGAATAAATATTTTCGAAGAGTCACGGCATCATTTCCGCATGCATAAATGCATAATACTTCAAACTTTAAAAATTTATTTAAATGCCCACGATATCTTTCGGGTTTTATTTTTTTGAATACTAGATTTAATTAAATTGTATCATCTATACGAAACTACAAATTTTCTTATAATTTTATTTGTAACAATTTTGATAAGACAAGAAAGTGATATAACTTTTATCAAATTTTTTTTGTATTTTCGTGGATGATTGTAGCTGATATCTGAATACAATTGAGATAAAGTAATCGATAGAGAACTTGTGTACTTAAAGTAGCGGTTAAATTGACCTATTTGATGTATCCTAAGCTTAATAACGCAATTCTATCTAGCGGTATGAGAGATTCGTAACAAAGCGAATCCATGGCTATCAATGTTGTCGAGATTTAAGGGGAGGTCATAACGAATTAAATGGCGCACGAGTGTGTTTTACGCTCGCGCGTAGCCGTTCATTCATGCCTTCCCCGCGTACTCTCTGCAAACAATAGGCCGTAAATGTGGCTTCAATTACGTTGCAATTAAGGTGACGCATGATTTACGCGCTACGCCGTAGCTTACGCTACATCTTACATAGTGCGTAAACATCGTAACACGTATAACTTTACGGAAGCGCAACTCGTGCGACCTAAAATTTCAATGACTCTGCCGGCGAGAAACTTGATAAGCTGCATATCAAAAGACGCTGATGAATAACTCTCTTCTTGTGGAGAGAGAGAGAGAGAAAGGAATGTAATACGATAATAATTTATTGAAGATATGCGATGACATAAGTCGTGTACTCATTTTTATTTATTTTTTTTTTCGAGATATGCGAAAATAGAAGTGAAATAATTTTTTGTGTAATAAACGATTCTTAGATAGACACGTGCTTATTTTTGTAAAAATTTAATTTCTGATATCTTTTGACTATTTTTTTATCTTTAATATTTTATGCTCCAAAGTACAGAGAGAAAAATATATCGATTTGTAAATTTTTTCTTAAGATAACATTGGCATGCATACCAGAACATGCTTACCTTTGCATTTTTTCAAAACATTTCGAATTTATTAATAGACTAAAATTATGCTGAATTTGTATATATCATCGTAGCAATTCGATAAGAAGATTGAGTAACTCAAGATTTCGATGTTCGAAGGTTCTTACGTTATCTAATTTCCTGACGGAAGTCGTGTTTTTCTACACGAGCATAGCGGCAGTTTTGTGTCTCGAAGCCACAAGTCGATACGTAAAGCATATATCGCATATATAGCTATTAAATCAAAATTTAGTTAAAACTTCTTTCTATACTCCATTGAATGTATCTTTAGCGTACGACTATTTATCTAACACAAGCATTATCAGTTTTCCGAGGTCTTTCCATGGAGCGCGTTCTGACCATTTATCTGCTACGTCAACTTTCTTGAGCCAACTTTCTCGTTCTTTTTTATGTGTGGCCCTGGATATAACAATGTAGAAGAATACGTACCTTCTCTTAAGTCTCTCTCGCAACGACAAGAACAGAAAAAAAAAACTGCGGGTAATAAAATGAAGGTCTCTCGAAAAGGAGAGACGTCTATTGTCCTTCTTTCAGACGCCGAAGATGATGAAAGAAAACTTCAGACTTTCGGTGACATAGTATTTTGCAGCATAAACTTTATATTTTTAAAAATTAAAATTTAATTAGTTTATTAAAAGCTTCGCATCAAAAATATATTGCAGCAACAGATGCAGTCGCATGTTATAAAGGGGGATCAGAAGTTCGCGGCGATGAAACATAAGTTATAAATTGTCAAATATATGTTTTTCATAGTTGTGGGAAAACATCGAACACACACATTCTTCTCGTTCATTTATAATTGAATTATTTACTTCCGTTAATGAAAAATCATTTTTACACAGTGGTGGAACAACATGTCTGCCTTATATATTTTCTAATAAAATACGTAATTAGAAATTACTTTCGAGGGCATTATATTACCGAATATTAGCGAAAATAAATTGTTGTCGGCATATTATTGCGCTCACTAATGGAAGTAAATACGAAGCAATTAAGAACGTACAAAGTACATTCTTCCATCTTTGTCCCGCAAAAAAAAAAAAAAATTTTCTTACGTTGCACTTCGTTGTCTTCGCTTCTCTTTCTCGGCATCCAACGAAACCATAGGAACATCTGCCTCTTCCAGGAAGGTGGTCTTGAGATAATGCCGCATGGAAACGCATTCTGTACACACAAAGTTGCTGGTTTCTTCTAGAGAGCGAAGACATGTTTTTCTCCAGTTCCGTTAAACGCGTCCATATATTTTCCCTTCGTTTCTTTCTTTTCGCGACACATCTTGATCTGAGATTTTCTCAACGGTTTCTCGAAATTTATGTCCAAAATACTCCCTTTCCCTAATCCGACACCAAAAGTGCCTGAAAGAAACTGTCACGTTGTAAAAAATCTTTGTCCTTCCTTTTCATTCCTTTGCTCTTTTCTTCATTCATTCCTTCCGTCCGTCCCAGCTTTCTAGTTAATGATTTCTTATCGCAAGAGGAAATTGATAGAGAAATTTAATCAAAATCACACACGAGAGTACATCCGTCTAAACGAACCGTTCGTTTATAAAGCTACCAGTGTATATTATTTGACATTATATTTGTTATTAATATGATACATCAAAGATGCGCTTTAATGAGATTATCATTTGACTAAATAACATACGTAAAAAAATTTAAATTTCTCATAAAATATAAAGGAATGCGTTATTGAATCAATGATATTGTATTACAATATATATCTGAAACTTGACGATTTTTCTCACAACTAGTATTTAATAACGACCATATGTTGCTAAGAAAAAGAGATAGAATTACGGAGTGATAACAGCGCGTGGTTTATTATTTCCTCTGGATGTAAAGTCGCGGGTATCTTTTTCGGCATCCGGTCGAATTTAAAACCGTTTGAATTATATGCCATGGATCTCCCCTATCTCGCATACATACAAAGCGTAACTTCGTATCTCTTCGTACAACGAAGATGTATCTCCGACCTCCTTTTTTCTTTCGATGATACGTCGAAAGAAGTTTTCATATAATAATACGGATGTCATAAAATTCATGCTTCCTCAAACGTTGATTTTAATTGACTAATTCTAAATAACTGATAATTCATAATTCGTTGTTCGTAATTAAAATCTATTTATTTATCGATCGCGTTTCCGGTGAAACGCGACCGACCAATGATTATCGCTCGATCCGAACGCAGAAAAAAAAAGGGGCAAGGACCCCGGGTGGGTTTATAGGGCTTCCCTCTTGCATTTACAAGATGTTCTGGAAAGCCGGCATGAGCGGGCTATTATATGAACGCAGGTGTCGGTGCAGATGTCGCGTAGCAGACGGCCCGCCACGATCACGCGTCGCTTGCGGTACCGTCTCGAAATTTTAATAAAACGTTCGCTGAGAGCAGGAGGAAAAGAGGGAAAGAAAGAGAGCCGTGTACTTATTTGCCTTATTATACCCGCGAACCCGGGTGTCACAAGTGTCGCTGTACAAACACACATGCATCACACGACATGTACATACACGCGATACATACGATTCAGAGATGCCATGCATATCTCGTCCTCGTGCATCTCCGCACAGATCTCGATATGAATCTATCGGATAGCTCGTACATCTGAATCAGGGAGGAATAAAATATTGAACAAAAACTCGGGTTTCATGCGGGAGTTTCTCCGTTACTATTTTGTATTTTATTTGCAATATATAACTTTTTTTTTAAATTTGTGCTGCTGAAAAATAAATTAAAATTACTAGAAAATAAATTAAAAATTAAATTCCTACAGATATTCATTAATAAAAGATAATTATTGGTAAAATCACTCCTGGCTGGATTGAAATTTATTGAAACATTTTAGAAAACGATGTTAAATTTATTTATAATAATGAGATAGCTCATACATCTGAATCAGGGAGGAATAAAATATTGAACAAAACCTCGGGTTTCATGCGGGAGTTTCTCAATTACTGTTTTGTATTTTATTTGTAATATATAAATTTTTTTAATTTGTGCTGCTGAAAAATAAATTAAAATTATTAGAAAATAAATTAAAAATTAAATACCTACATTCCTTAATGAAAGATAATAAAATTAGTAAAATCACTCCTGGCTGGATTGAAATTTATTGAAACTTTTTGAAAAACGATGTTAAATTCATTTATCACAATGAAATATATTTTTTTTTAATGTGAAAAAAATCATTAAATTTCCCGGCGTTATGCTAGTTTCGAAATATTTGTTATTCTTAAAAAATACATCAAAAAAGTATATCATATTAAAAAAAGAGAAAGTGATATTTTATGTTTATTTTTATTATTTCTTTCAGTTTAATAAATATAATTTTGAAAATATTTATGTGTGTCAAGGATAGCTTTAGTAATAAAAACAGGATAAAAAGAAACTATTTATATTTCTTCTATCGATACCAATAATAAAAAAATTTGTTAATGTTTCAGGTAGAAGTCGAGATGTTGTGATGGCTGGTAGATCACGACGTTCGAGCACAGGGCTCGAACCAGATCTATCGACGCCAACGGCTCCAAAAAAATCTAAACAATTTGAAACGGCATCCGACAAACCGTCTGCAAAACACTTGACAGAGGTGGAAAGTACCGAGACACCGTCCACGAGTGAGATATCTTTACAGGCGGAAGTTTTGCTCGTCCAGGAAGGGGAAGAGGAGGAAAAACATCTCTCAGACGTTGCAAAACAAGCTGGAACCTCCGAGCGATGGGTTTCGATCGATGAACCGTCACCGAAATCGACCGAGCAAGCGGATCCAAAGATCTCTAAAAAAAAGAAAGACATCGCGACGATCTCCACCGAAGCGATCCCGGGTACTTCGAAAGAAGAGCAGCTCGGTACGCTGAAATCCATTGTAATGAAGTATAGCGAACAGAGCGACGAGCTTTCTGGTTTCTCCAGACCAAAATCCGAGACAACCGTACAGAGCTTTACGCTGCGCGAACATGCATCGTACGAAGACTTATCCCTTATCGGGAACGGTGCATACGGCACGGTGTACAAGGCAAAGGATAAGTCCAGCGGTCAAATTGTAGCGCTTAAGAAAGTTAGAGTACCTTTGACAGACGATGGTCTACCTATGTCCACACTAAGAGAGATCGCTGCTTTAAAGTCACTCGAACGATTCGAACATCCAAATATTGTGAGTATTAGAACTTGCAATAATCTCTTTTAATATATGTAATATATTAAAATGTCGCAATCTTATAAAAAAAAAATTAATATTATTCTTAAACAAAAATTAATATGATTTTTTCCTTTCCAGGTCAGATTACTCGATGTCTGCCAAGGAGATTATCTTCACTTACCATCGGGTGATGGTGAACAGTCTGAGAGGCTAGATCGTGGTCTCACCCTTTGGTTGGTGTTCGAACACGTGGAAAGAGATCTCGCTTCCTATATAGCCAATTACCGAGAAAGCTCTCCACAATCGAGTATCCCGCCGAATATCGTAAAGCAAATGTCGAAAGAAATACTGTGTGGAGTGGAGTTCCTACATAGCCATAGAATAATACACAGAGACTTGAAACCGCAAAATCTTTTGGTAACGCGGGAAAGAAGAATCAAAATCGCGGATTTTGGTTTAGCCAAGACCTACGACTTTGAGATGAGATTAACTTCTGTGGTATGTTAATAATAAACAGTATCATATGCAATGTATTATAAATTACGTGTTTCTTGTTGACCATAAATATCTCGATATTGGTGGATTTAAATTATATTTTACAACAATTTGTTACATATTATGCGCGACAAAAAAATTATACAGGGAACTATTATTTATCACAATCTTTGTTAGAACAACTATAAAATTGATTAAAATTGATCAAAAAATATTGTTACTGTTATTATTGTTTTGTTATTTTTTATTTACATCTATTTATTAATTCATTTATGGTTTCATTCTTCATAATTTATTAATTTTCAATATTAAATTTGTAAGTAAGGATGTGTGTCAGTATTATATAACAATATTGTAAAACAACTGATGTTTTTGTTTTGGATTATGGTATACGTACAAGTTATTTATGTCTGTAATATATTTCTCTCTCCTGTATGACATTGTTATTGATGAATCTTCGTGATATTTTATTATAGGTTGTGACTCAATGGTATCGAGCACCTGAAGTACTTTTAGGATGTTCCTATGCTACCCCTGTAGATATCTGGTCTGTCGGATGTATATTGGCAGAACTTTGCAAATTGGAACCATTATTCCCAGGCTCTAGTGAAGGTGATCAACTCGACAGGATTTTCCAGTAAGTTAATACAATTCTCTTGTCCTTTTCTTTTTTGAAAAACTACATTTCCTAATTTTTCTCCATTGTTTCTTTTCTTTTTCCATATTAGAGTTTTGGGCACTCCATCGCAGCAAGCATGGCCAGAGAATGTATCGCTCAGTTGGACAGCTTTTCCATACAGACAACCTAAACCTCTTGGTGCAATAATACCAGATCTCAATGAACATGGACTAGACTTAATAAGAAGTATGCTCATGTTTGATCCTCATAGTCGTGTAACCGCAGCTCAAGCAGTAAGACACCGATATATTACTGAAGAAGACGTACAATGACTGTTTCATATATATAAGTTATATAGATTTACTAATAAACTCAGACTGACGTAACTGTATTCAGGAATAGAAATATATCTAACATATGTAAGCACGCTATAATAGTTTATAAAATTATTAATAGCAGGTTGGTTAATAAATATCTAATATGAGTATTAAGAATCACATTTATTCGTTACAATACTACAAATTCAATTAACAGTTAAAATTCACATTTAAATCTGTTGTATCAAATAGTCGATAGTAGTCATGTACACCTTATAGTTTATTTTTATAGTTGGCCCCCTGTAGTTAAGTTGTTAAACATAATTACATATAATAATTTTGCAAAACAATCCATGATTTAAATTAATTTAAGGGGTTTCTATATAGGTGTACCTTAATATACAAGTATACAATGTAGTATATATACAATGAGAATGACACAATTATTATTTTTGATATGTTATTTATTTACACATAATGATATCTTAATATTTCAGTCAATCATATCTTTTTTATAATGATGTTAAGAATTATACTTCCCATTAACTTCTTTTATTTCATGTCATTGTGTTTCATGAAGTAAATATATATAATTAAATATTTAATATTAAATATTATATAATATATATTATATAATATTAAATATTATTATATTTACATCATGATTGTATTTATCAGCTTAGTTGTATGTATATGACTTTAATTAAATAAGTTAAATAAGATGTGTATAATTGTAACGAATTCTATTAAAAGTATGAAAGCGAATGTATATACGAATGTATATACCGCAAATACCTAAGTTAACTTTAGTTCAACATAAAATTTACATAAAATTAAGGTAACATATTAAGATAACATATGTGTATATATATTTTTCAAGAGTAGAATTAGCTTTCTAAGATTGGGGATTTTATATAACCTATTAGAAACATGTGAAAGATTTAGAATCTTACACAGAAAACCAGAAAGCGCACTGCCATATCTTGTATGTACCATAATCCATTACACAATCATTAATATCATATTTTTTGTTAATGTATAATATCGACGTGTATAAAGCAATAAGTGACAATATTTATATCAGTTCATTTAAAGTACATTATTGCATATTAAGATATCAAAAATAGATACATAAGCGCATTGTTAAGAAGACTGTATCATAAAATAAAAGTTTTATAATTTTATACGCAGGAATCTGTCAAAATTCGATAATAGTGTATACCTCTTTTAATATATTTGTCAGAGAGACTTAACAATAGTTCTAAACAATTTTATATAATCATAGAGTTGACTAAGCATTTGAATTTATTGAGAAGTAAGAAAGTATTAATCAAAGAGGATTAGATCCTCTTTGGCATTAATCAACTTGTAAATTTCAAACAATTTCCGAGATGTATGAATCGAAGTTCGGGCATTTTGCACGTTCGACTTGACGCTCCTAACTCTCGTGGAATCATTTTATCTTTGTTGTTAGTCGAAAATTAAACAAAGCCGATAATAGATTCTAGAATCTCAGTTGTGGCTATTGACGTGCATCTTTATACTTCGTGATTGTAACCTTTAGACCGCAAAGATATTTATGTAATAGAAGAGAAAAAAATATGATAAAAGTGAGACACATATAATGACATTGATAATATACTTACATATTATTAATTATGCGCCTGCAATAACGTTACTACTTCTCGACATGGTTATTATTGAACTTCGTCCTGCGTGCGTATATACAAACATGTAGGTTACCTTGGTGGCAACCGACCTAACTGTTTTTGTGATCACCTAACTGTCATTGTAACCTTTAGGTCGCAAAGAGATTTATCTGATAGAACAGATAAAAATATAATAAAACAGTGGGACATATATAACGTGACATTGATAATATACTTACATATTATTATTTATGTACTTGCGATAACGTTACTATTTCTCGACATGAAGTTATTATCGAACTTTGTCCTAAGTACGTACAGACATCTAGGTTACCTTGGCGGCAATCGACCTAACTGTTTTGTCAGTTGGAGAAAAATGGCGACCGAAGTGGAGAAGGCACAATCAGCTGTGCCAGAAAACGAAACAATATTTGGAAAAATACTACGCAAAGAGATCCCATGCAATTTTATTTACGAAGATAACCAGGTAAATTATATCATGAAATAAAAATATTGAAAATTACATATTATTTTGTTGAATTTTGTCACAAATCGTTTTACCGGCATTATGTACATTGCCTTCAACACATACATATATCAAATATTATTTTATATATATATTTATATGTAAATTATAATACAGGAAATATAGTGCACTAAGCGATGTACATTTTTAAGTATATTTTTAAATATTAAAATATATTTTTTTTTAAAGATATATTCTATTCACTCATCTGAGAGTAATTATTATTACACGTTGCACGTTATTTAAATTCACTATTACCGCAAGTACTTGCAATAACAACCGCATTTATATAACCACATTTTTTTCTGCTGAGTTGCATAGTGAACATGTTGACTTCAGTTACCTCTAACCTAAAGGAATTGCAGATTAATATTAATATAGAAATTGTATATAAATACTCCTCATTATTAGAAATAATTCAATATACTTAAAACTTTTGTTCTTAGAGATTTGTAAATAGAAATAAACTTTATTTAAATATATAAGACATTTTTATATCAAATATAAATAAAATATTGATATACAAAAAAAAACAATTTGAATATATTTATATTTTACAGTGCGTTGCATTTGACGATGTAAATCCTCAAGCACCTGTACACTTTCTAGTGATTCCACGGAAAGCAATTTCGCAACTTTCCAAAGCTCAAGATGAAGATGAACCTTTACTTGGCCACTTGATGAATATTGCTCATAAAGTTGCAAAGCAGAAAGGCTTAACAAATGGATTTCGCCTCGTTGTCAATGATGGAAAACATGGTGCACAGTCTGTGTATCATCTGCATTTGCATGTTCTCGGCGGTCGACAATTGCAATGGCCACCTGGTTAATGTGCTCATATGCTTAAATGGACAAGCATGATTTTTATTATGAAATATAATGTAGTATAACTAGTAGCAAGGTTAAAGGTATGGGTTATGTCACAAATTTTTTTTATTCTAAATATATCTAAAATATATGCTTGTAAAATATTACATAAAAAAATACACCATAATGATTAATAATGTATTTGTATATTATAATTGTAAATAATTAACAATACCATTAATATGTTTGTCACAATGTTTCATGTTTTTATTAGATACTATAGATACATAGCAAAGAAAATATTTTATAAAAATAGTGTCTCTCTTTCTGTCATGAATAACTTCACTAACTAAAATATTGAGGTATCTGGTAATTATCTTTTTTCATATACTTCATATACAAATTTTATTCCTTTTTCTTCTTGGATATCTTGTGGTACAGTTGGATCCCTAGAATTAGATGTTATAAAACAGCAGCATTTATATGAAATATCAAACATAAGAGAAATATTAATGCTTACTTTATCAATACAAAGTTATTTGGAATAGGGGGAAAGAATGTATCACATTCAAATTCTTTCTTTATACGCGTCAAATACAATCGTCCAAAATACGGGGATTCCATGGCGCCCTATATGTGAATGCAAAAATTGTTATCTAATTTAAATTTAGACTCAACATTTATGTTTTTATGTTATTAAATCTGTTTTTTTGGCCACATTTTCTGTAACTTTTTTTGCTTTTCTTTTCTGTTTCCTAAGTGATGAATATATACTTGTTTCATTTTAAATACAAAAAGTGTGGTATAGAATAAAAAAAAAAAAACAGATTTATACTGTCTCACATAAAATGTCACACATTTGTGACATTAATTTATCTATGTTACTTTACACATCTCTTACACAAGATACCTTGTACACGCTACTTCCTCCTATTACCCATACCCTTTCTATTTGATTTTGCATTTCTGTAAGCACTTCGATAGCATGTGGTATACTTTTGCATGTTATTGCCTTATCTCCATAATCTCTAAAATTGATACAATTTATTTTTTTTCAAAAGAATTATACTTTTTATTTCATCGATGATTTCGTCCATAATTACAATGATTGTGACGTTAACACCATGTTTATGCGATCCTTTAAAGGTCGGTATTTTTCGGGGATACAATCCCACGTGCGCCGGCCCATAAGTACGACATTCTTTTTATTTTTATCCTTTGTGTCAGTTGTCATCCGTGTAAAGAACGCCATTTCAGTCCTGTATAAATTCAAGTTTAATCATAGAATGTTCTCCTGATTCTCAATAACGATTTCACTTGCGTAAACAATTTGTTGATGATCTTACTTCAAACGCCAGGGTAAATCACCATTTATTCCAATACCCATATTTTCACATGCTGCGGCAATTAATTCCAATTTAGGTAGCATTCTGACACTTGAATAATAATGATACAACAATCCTGAAAAATTACATGCAATGATAATACAGATACACTATTATGAAGTAAACTAACTAGTCAATAATGATAGAGTTGAATTGAACCATTCGAATATCTTCTCTCCCCACCAAAAAAAAGATAAAAGGTGAATAATTTTTTTTTTTTATAAAATATTTAAAATTTTATACTTTTTTAGAACTCTTTGTATTTATTATTATTCTCTGAAAACTATAAAAAAGACTGCATGATGCAATTGTTGAAAAAATAATAAAGAAGAAACTTTGAAACTAGTGGAATAATATTTGTCCAAATAATTAAATCAGTGCTACCAACATTTGAATTGTTGGACAAAACGAATGTATGCAGAGAAAATATCGATTTCTATGAATACTCACGATACGCCATTTTATGTCCAGCTCCTGCAGATGTTTATTCACAATTCACATGAACATATTTTGAGGCGAATATATATCGATAAAAAAATTAATTTATTCCAAATGCAATTCAAACTGCTTTAATTGAATACAGTATTAGTTATCGAAAGTAGCTATTTTTAATAATTTATGTGCACATTTTCCGCAGAGAGAAGCCTGAGAGAGGCAATGCTGGCGACTTTCGTGGGACGCTTTTTCTAGGCCGTAGAGCAGCGCCGTGCATCCACTTTTAGGAATTGGAAACACTACCCACATCCACTTTTCGGTACTGTCGGTCATTTGGTTAATGTCCGTGCTAATATACATCCACTTTTCGAAACTGTCGGTCATTTTGGTTCACGTCTATGCTAATACATCCACTTTTTGGACATAATACCACTATTCACTGCAAATCACTGCAAATATTTAACAGTACTGAGTATTGATTGTGTATCACCACTGAATATACCATATACATTTAGATAGACATTGAGAATATGTATTTCCATATTACGTAAGCTTGCGTTCAGAAATCCTACCCGTGGGGTAAAGTAACGTTTAATTGACTAATCAGGAGGTTGATCATGTAACTTTTTCCCTAAGGAGGAAACGTGAAAGTGGAAAATATTATCATTGAAATTAATGGCAGAGAGAAGCCTGAGAGAGGCAATGCCGGCGATTTTCGTGGGACGCTTTTTCTAGGCCGTAGGGCAGCGCCGTGCATCCACTTTTAGGAATTGGAAACACTTACCCACATCCACTTTTCGGTACTGTCGGTCATTTGGTTCATGTCCGTGTTAATATACATCCACTTTTTGAAACTGTCGGTCATTTTGGTTCACGTCTATGCTAATACATCCACTTTTTGGACACCGGAAATAAGTTGGCGCTGGAAGTTCATATTTTTTAATAATTAATAGCTCAAACGATTGCTCCTTAATTGCTCCGTCAGAATCCACAATTGCTCCCCTTTTAAAATTAGTAGTTTTTGAAATATTTACAAAAAACGTAAAATTTATCATTTTCACTCAGAAACATATTTCTAATAGTTTTCTGCAACTATATCCAGTATGAAACGGTTGCTCCTTAATTGCTTCATATTGCTCCATCATTATTTTCATGATTTATTGCATTTTTTATCGAAAGCTCAGAAGCCAACGGCGAGAATTTTCAAACATAATATAACATAAAACGATTGCTCCTTAATTGCTTCGCATTGCTCCATCATTATTTTCATGATTTATTGCATTTTTCATCGAAAATTAACAAATTAATAATTTCCCTAGCGACACCGTTGTCACCTATCGGCCGCCTATCGGAACTATATAGCTCAGAAGCCAACGGCGAGAATTTTCAAACATAATATAACATAAAACGATTGCTCCTTAATTGCTTCGCATTGCTCCATCATTATTTTCATGATTTATTGCATTTTTCATCGAAAATTAACAAATTAATAATTTCCCTAGCGACACCGTTGTCACCTATCGGCCGCCTATCGGAACTATATAGCTCAGAAGCCAACGGCGAGAATATTCAAACATAATATAACATAAAACGATTGCTCCTTAATTGCTTCGCATTGCTCCATCATTATTTTCATGATTTATTACATTTTTTATCGAAAATTAACAAATTAATCATTTCCCTAGCGCCATCGTTGTCACCTATCGGCCGCCTATCGGAACTATATGGCTCAGCCAATGGCGAGAATATTCAAACACAATATAACAGCTCTATTGTTTATAACTATATCTCAAAGAATTTAATCAACGTTTCTTATTGATTTTTTGGTAGAATAATTGCACCTCGCTTGCTCTATTATGATATTCGCGATCGCTCCACTTGTATAATTAATCTTTTTATGATATATTAGCAAAAAAAAAACCAATCATTTTCTTGGAAAAACATATTTTCCGTAGTCTACTGCAAGTATATCCAACATAAAACGATTGCTCCTTAATTGCTTCGCATTGCTCCATCATTATTTTCATGATTTATTGCATTTTTCATCGAAAATTAACAAATTAATAATTTCACTAGCGACACCGTTGTCACCTATCGGCCGCCTATCGGAACTATATAGCTCAGAAGCCAACGGCGAGAATTTTCAAACATAATATAACATAAAACGATTGCTCCTTAATTGCTTCGCATTGCTCCATCATTATTTTCATGATTTATTGCATTTTTCATCGAAAATTAACAAATTAATAATTTCCCTAGCGACACCGTTGTCACCTATCGGCCGCCTATCGGAACTATATAGCTCAGAAGCCAACGGCGAGAATTTTCAAACATAATATAACATAAAACGATTGCTCCTTAATTGCTTCGCATTGCTCCATCATTATTTTCATGATTTATTGCATTTTTCATCGAAAATTAACAAATTAATAATTTCCCTAGCGACACCGTTGTCACCTATCGGCCGCCTATCGGAACTATATAGCTCAGAAGCCAACGGCGAGAATTTTCAAACATAATATAACATAAAACGATTGCTCCTTAATTGCTTCGCATTGCTCCATCATTATTTTCATGATTTATTGCATTTTTCATCGAAAATTAACAAATTAATAATTTCCCTAGCGACACCGTTGTCACCTATCGGCCGCCTATCGGAACTATATAGCTCAGAAGCCAACGGCGAGAATTTTCAAACATAATATAACATAAAACGATTGCTCCTTAATTGCTTCGCATTGCTCCATCATTATTTTCATGATTTATTGCATTTTTCATCGAAAATTAACAAATTAATAATTTCCCTAGCGACACCGTTGTCACCTATCGGCCGCCTATCGGAACTATATAGCTCAGAAGCCAACGGCGAGAATTTTCAAACATAATATAACATAAAACGATTGCTCCTTAATTGCTTCGCATTGCTCCATCATTATTTTCATGATTTATTGCATTTTTCATCGAAAATTAACAAATTAATAATTTCCCTAGCGACACCGTTGTCACCTATCGGCCGCCTATCGGAACTATATAGCTCAGAAGCCAACGGCGAGAATTTTCAAACATAATATAACATAAAACGATTGCTCCTTAATTGCTTCGCATTGCTCCATCATTATTTTCATGATTTATTGCATTTTTCATCGAAAATTAACAAATTAATAATTTCCCTAGCGACACCGTTGTCACCTATCGGCCGCCTATCGGAACTATATAGCTCAGAAGCCAACGGCGAGAATTTTCAAACATAATATAACATAAAACGATTGCTCCTTAATTGCTTCGCATTGCTCCATCATTATTTTCATGATTTATTGCATTTTTCATCGAAAATTAACAAATTAATAATTTCCCTAGCGACACCGTTGTCACCTATCGGCCGCCTATCGGAACTATATAGCTCAGAAGCCAACGGCGAGAATTTTCAAACATAATATAACATAAAACGATTGCTCCTTAATTGCTTCGCATTGCTCCATCATTATTTTCATGATTTATTGCATTTTTCATCGAAAATTAACAAATTAATAATTTCCCTAGCGACACCGTTGTCACCTATCGGCCGCCTATCGGAACTATATAGCTCAGAAGCCAACGGCGAGAATTTTCAAACATAATATAACATAAAACGATTGCTCCTTAATTGCTTCGCATTGCTCCATCATTATTTTCATGATTTATTGCATTTTTCATCGAAAATTAACAAATTAATAATTTCCCTAGCGACACCGTTGTCACCTATCGGCCGCCTATCGGAACTATATAGCTCAGAAGCCAACGGCGAGAATTTTCAAACATAATATAACATAAAACGATTGCTCCTTAATTGCTTCGCATTGCTCCATCATTATTTTCATGATTTATTGCATTTTTCATCGAAAATTAACAAATTAATAATTTCCCTAGCGACACCGTTGTCACCTATCGGCCGCCTATCGGAACTATATAGCTCAGAAGCCAACGGCGAGAATTTTCAAACATAATATAACATAAAACGATTGCTCCTTAATTGCTTCGCATTGCTCCATCATTATTTTCATGATTTATTGCATTTTTCATCGAAAATTAACAAATTAATAATTTCCCTAGCGACACCGTTGTCACCTATCGGCCGCCTATCGGAACTATATAGCTCAGAAGCCAACGGCGAGAATTTTCAAACATAATATAACATAAAACGATTGCTCCTTAATTGCTTCGCATTGCTCCATCATTATTTTCATGATTTATTGCATTTTTCATCGAAAATTAACAAATTAATAATTTCCCTAGCGACACCGTTGTCACCTATCGGCCGCCTATCGGAACTATATAGCTCAGAAGCCAACGGCGAGAATTTTCAAACATAATATAACATAAAACGATTGCTCCTTAATTGCTTCGCATTGCTCCATCATTATTTTCATGATTTATTGCATTTTTCATCGAAAATTAACAAATTAATAATTTCCCTAGCGACACCGTTGTCACCTATCGGCCGCCTATCGGAACTATATAGCTCAGAAGCCAACGGCGAGAATTTTCAAACATAATATAACATAAAACGATTGCTCCTTAATTGCTTCGCATTGCTCCATCATTATTTTCATGATTTATTGCATTTTTCATCGAAAATTAACAAATTAATAATTTCCCTAGCGACACCGTTGTCACCTATCGGCCGCCTATCGGAACTATATAGCTCTTGAGATTGAAATTTGATCAATCAGGACAAAGAAATTTTAGTTCCTTTTATCCTGATTGATCAAATTTCAATCTTTAATACATAATATGATACGGGCTTTAGCCCTTAATAAAGATAATAGCCAAAAAAGTTCGTTGCCGCCCGCGGGCGGGAACGGACGTGTTCAGACACGTTACGCGTGTGTCCTTTGGACCTTATTTTTGAGTTTTATCTTCCCCTTCTAAAGAGGAGTTCTTTTTAATTGTTCATTTAACCCTTTTCATCTGGCCATGTGGTAGGTAATTACCTAACCGGTGTCAATCAAACAAAGAAGAAGAAGAAGAAAATAATAGCCAGATTGTGAGCTCTGTTACACGGAACCCTTAATCGGGTTTAATAACATCCGTAGTTGTAAAACTGACCAATCACAGTCATTCCATTCTACAGAATAATGAGACAAATCAATTAGTGTAAAGAAAAAAACAAATAATTGTTTTAAA